ACTGATAGCAAGCAATTTGTTTAACGTTGAAATTATATACTGTTACTTAAATATGTATAAATTTGTTATTCTATATCTTATCGAGATTGTCGGTTTAATTATATTTCTCAATAAGCTAATCAGACATTCAATGTCAGAGTTCAACAACAACCATGTCATTAGTTACACTGCTAAAATTGAAGAATAAATTATAAAGAAATTTTGTTTAATTCGAAATATTCTGAAGAATTTGAACTTTAATTATATAGATGCATTATTCTTCTTCTAAAAGAAGTGAATAAAAAAATTACTTCTTGGATTTTTACACATAACTGTAGCATCAGAATATTAATTATGCAACAAGGAAGCATAAAGAATAAATGATTTAAAACATTAAAAAACAAATGTTTTTTAATGAGTTTAAATAACTAATATATATAATTTTTTTTATAATTTAATAAAAATGATGATTTAAATAAAGAATATAAAATAATCTTAATTAATATAGACTTTTCGCTAATTAAAATTATAAAAAAAATAAAGTAAATTAAGCGAAAGATATTGACTTTCTACATTCAGCAATATGGGTAAATCAATCATTTAAAATTCATTGCAACCCATTAAAATCGAGATATGATCCTAAAATGTGAACAATTTTTTTTATCCCTTAATCAGTGAAATACGAATCGAAATTAAATGTTAGATTTATTTTACAGAGTTTATAAACGTAATAAGACATTCTCAACAGAAACAAAAATTCGAACAAAAAACTGTAATACTTTACATGTGAATTGAACTGATTAAGCTATGGTTTTTTAAATGAAACTTTATATTTTAGAATTTATTTGAAAAATTTATTATAATAATCAATAAATATTTTAAAAATAGTAGAATAATCATATAAAACAAATAGGTATGCTTTATAACAATGAAAATAGGATATTCTTCGGTAAATGATTCTGTCTCACTTTGTTGTCTCACAATTACGTTGTTTTTAATTAAATATTCATTTATTCATGAGAAACAGTTCTTAACTAGAACTATAAAATATAAAAAACATTGTTTTCGTAGATAAATTGAAAATGTAGAGAAATCAAAAACGTCTAAAATACTTTAAAATAATTAAGAAAATACTCTTAGTAGAAAATCACAAAATTTTCCAGTAATAAGATAAAAAGATATTCTAGTAAATAAATAGTATTAAATAGATAAGTTGTCTACAATTCCAATTGCACATCTAACAATATTCTAATAAATATTTTATATTAGGCTATGCTTTTACTAAAAGATATTTTTTTATTTGTAAATAAAAAAATATATTATAAAAAATTTCTGAAAAATTTTTATCAGAAAATTTTTATCTGAAAAATCTGATTACTTATATTTACAATCTTCATCTGTCATTTTCATTTGTGTTCATTATTTTAATATTTATATAAAAAAATAAATACGTTTTGTTCATAAGTACAACATACATTAGCCTATAAAACTGATTAAATGCATTTGAAAAAAAAACTTACAAACACAAGCTTACATTCTCATTTTATAAATGAAAGCTGTTTTTGATAAATTTGAATGATGTCAAAGATATTGCAATTATTTATAAAGAAATTTGTTTGTTTAATCAAATATTTTATAGGCTATTGTTATTTTTGTTTTATTATATTTATAAACGTGCGTGCAGTTTGCAATTAATAGTCAACGTTTCTGAATCATCATTGGTAAATTAGTTGGAATAAATGAATCGGAATTGAATGTTGAAATTCACGAATCTTGCATAAAGTTAACATTACAAATATAAAGATTTTTAATTTGTGTCTCATATTTAACACATTATTTAACACATATTCTTAAATAATATGTGTGTTAAATGAAATAGTTCATGAAAAAATATTTTAAATAGTAGATAAAGCGTAATAGTATTTTTAATGGTCACAGTAAATGGAATTTTTAAATTTGAAATCAATCCTTTTTTATATCTTCTTATAGTAAAAATTGCAGTATTAATATTCTTAAATTATTCGACTTCAATGTTATTTAAGTTTTCAGAATGTTTATAACAATTCAAAATTTTTTATTAGAAAATTATATTTAAATTCGATACTTTATCGAATTTGAAGTAATATTTTAATTAATCAATCCAAAATTTCATATGATTCAATGAATATTAAAGTTTCTTAAATGAAAATCAATTTAATTTGAAGAATACTTTTTTTTTATTTTTATCATGTATCTTAATATTTATCTTTCGTGTATTTATAATACATGAATATTTATAATATAGTTTTTTGTAATGATTTATAAATTGAATTGGAACAACTATTCAAAAACTAATATAACTACAGGAGAATTTACAAATGCAATTTCATTAAAAATATTAAAATATATATATATATAAATACTTTATTATTATTTTATTCAAAGAGCACTAAGAGACTTATTCTTGAATTTTATATTTTATAATTTCTAGTTACATATGAGCATTAAATAAACTAAATAATCAAACACTTTAAGTTTACAAATCATTCATTATTACTAAACCTTTATTGTAACTAATGCCATTAAAGACATTAACTTCTAAATATTTCAAGTATTTCATTAATTTCTTTTATTTTTCATTATATCAAATATTTCTTAAACTTTGAACAAAAATAATTAAATTTTCAAAGTTCATTAAGAGTTTTTACATAGTAATATCATAATTTTTACTCTATCATTCAGTTATATAGTCTAAAATTTATCAGATTTCATCATTATTCTGTAATTTTTGCTATAAATTTATGAGTATTCGCTAAGTCATTTAACAGGAACACGTATTTTCAATATAAATACAATTCATTTTGTAAAAATACGTAATAATAAATACTTTTCCTTCCATTTAAAATCGAAAATGAAGGAAGAATATTTAGAATGTATGTTCCTTAATGTCATAATTGAACAGACATTCAAGTTTATATATGGTCAATTAGTAATCATTGATATTATCACAATTGTCATATTCATATTATTATATTATTAATAATCATTATACGTCATAGAACTAATGTAGGTCCTAGAAATGAAACAAAAAATTGAAAATTATGAGATTAAACTAAATATTAAAATATGACAATAAATTTTTATATTTTTAAAATATATCTAAAATAGATGATTTTCACATTATATTTACGGTAATTAATTGTATTCATTTTTGCTATAATTATTATTTTATATCCCCGGTTAATGGGAAGATTTTGATTGTCCAATAAAGTAAAATTGAATTGAATTACATTCACATTAATTTTTAAATATTTATAGTTCATTATTTTAATATTTATAATAATTTAACTTACTTTTTAAGAATATATTTACTTTCTATAATTAGAAAATTTTTTAATCGTTTTAATAATTTTTCTGTTTTTTTTCTGTAATGTTTTATTTAATTTACATTTTAAAATTATCCAATTTTTAATTGAAGTTTCGTTAATTTTGTTTAGCGTAAATTAAAACGTGTAGATTTATATTTTTATTATTTTTCAATATTACTTTTTATGTAATAGCACTTATTTTTTAACAGTAGCACTTACATGCATTAAAGAATGTTTATCGACAAAATAAAATTTGTTACATCCTCGTATATAAAAGCATCTATGGCCTTAGAAATTGATAGATAAACGAAGCAAAGCAACGATTTCTTTTCTCAATGATTGTTTTGTTTGTTGGTTTCACTAATAACGAACAAATGATTTCAGTTTTTCATTGGAAAAAGCAGAAAAAAATCTAAGTGTTACTGAGGTAATAACAGCAATAAAGGCTTATAAGTGAAAAAATATATATTATTTATAAGAATTTTTCTATTAAATTTGAATTTAAGAAAGTGATATTTAATACTTCAATGAATTTTTAATACTTTATAAAATTCATTTTATATTAATAATAAGATCTTAAAAAATTTCTATTTAATAACACCAATTTTGTTGAATGTAAAGCTTAATACTGTATTATATTTTTTAAAGTTATAAATGTGATTATTTTAAAAATAACGTTTAAAAATTAGAAAATGTTAAATTTAATTTTATTGTAAATTTTATTTGTTTTAATTCTGCCAAACTTCTCAAATTTCTTCAGATATATTCAGGAAGATCTTGATATTCCTGAATATATCTACATTACATGATATCTACATTAGATTAACTCAAACAAAACAATAATAAGATTTAACAATCAGTAATGTAAAATTACTATAAAGATTATTTTTCCTTTCAATTCAACTTTGGTACCTCAGAAAATCAACTTAGAATATTAATTTAAATTTTCTTCTAAAATATTTTATTTGTAACTTTTACTTTTTAAATGAAATTTTAAGTTAGAAGTTAATTAGTGCTGAAAATGATCACATTGAAGACTTTTAGTAAAATTATTATCCCTGGTAATAATTTGAGTGGAGACATAATCCTCATTAAAACTTATTATCATTTTTGCAATATATTTTATTCATAGACTATTTCATAAATAACAAAACTTTAATTTCAAATATTTTCAGTATAAAATTTTATGGAAAATTGCATAATTATTCAAAAACATTTTAAAAATTCATCAATGAAATATTAATAGTTTATTACAAATTAAATTTATTCTTCATATATGTTTTTAAACATCAGATTTAATTATCGTTATTTTTTGTTTGGCCTATACAGATTACATAAAAATAATAATTAAAAAAATTAAACGTTTTGAAAATACATATTCATTTATTCACCATTCAACACCTATTTTTTTTAAATTTTTTTTTAAATATATATTTTTATATATTACATTCCCTGTTAGTGAACAAACCACAAAATTTCTTAAAAAATAATTAATGGCAGGTTAGATTTATTTTGAAGATATTACTTTCTTTCTTTTTAAAATGAAAAGTATTTTAATTAAAAAACAAAATATTAATGAAAAAATGTAANCATGGTAGATACGTTCCGAAAAAGTGTCGTGTTATGCGAATTCGTGCTATACGAAACAAAATATTAATGAAAAAATGTAATCAATCAGACAAAAATGAGAAACACATTCACCCCAATTTTCATTTTTAAATAACAGCTTTTTATTTCGTGAAGCAATTTCGTTTACATAAACGTTATTATTTCCCCTTTGATGCAAAAATAATTTTCCCGCCGACACATAACTAGGAAATGATGACGTTAACATGACGTATTGCTGACGTTGCTGACAATTAACATTTCCTGCCATTAGAATTAAAACAATGCTTAGTAAATCAGTTTGAAATTCGAAAAACTGTTTTACAAATGTCCCTTACAATGTCTTCGTGTTGTATTCTCTTTCTCAATTTAAAAAATAATACTTAGAATGTGCGTAAATGTGCATTTCGGTATACTATGCAATTTGTTTTTTTTAAAACATTTTCTAGCCTTATCTAAATTTTTCTAAATTTTAAAATCGTTATTATATCATAAACATTTTTATCATCGCATACATTCTAATTCCACTCGAAAATATTTATCTTAAAATTTTAAATTTCTAATAACCTGTTTTTATAAACTTTTTTTTATTTTACATATATATATATTATATATTACTATTTATACTATATAAATAGTGATTTATTAAAATACTTAATATATATATATTCTTATTTTCGATCTGGATATGAATATATGTAATTTAAAACAGCAACTTAAAACTCTAAGGGCATTCGATTACGTCAGAACGTCAGCAAAGTCATTACGAGGATGATCATGTATGACTTACTTAAGACATCCTGCTAACAACATTCATTTATCATAAAAGTCGAGATTAAAAACTAAAAATTATGAGTATTTTCATTATATTTTAGCTACTCATTATAGTTAGTTTTTTCCTCTTTTTTCCCCTTAAAAAAGAATAGACCCAAAAATTTTGTGCTAAATAAAAAATAAGATATGGGCAGTGCACAAGATGAAAAATAACAGCTCATTTCATGTGCAAAAATGAACAAATGTGAATAATAATATCCTTTCTAATGTATCAAATGGTTATATGATTTATAACTACAACGTTTTCTAGTATGTACACTTTATGAAGAACTGCCTTGGATTTTTGTATTTTTTTGTATTTTTTTCTTGTTTTATCATAGTTATCGTTTACATAGCACATCACATAAGTACATTACCTATTTCTATGTACTGTACATTTCCTATGCTACTGCAGAAGGCTGCAAACAGCCTTGCACTGGCAAGACTTTGAAGCAGTCCTTTGTCTATATTCAAGTTGTATTGCTTTATTGCTTGCTAACATGATCCAGGGACCAAAGGGAAGATTGAAAAAGTTTGCATGTTAAAATTAGTCTTTTTAAAGAATATAAGTAATGCATTTTTTCTCCTATCACATTGTCATTCGTCTTTAACAATCATTGTACATTACAAGCAACTTAACTATACTAAATATGTACTTTTCCCTCGCTTCTTATGTTTAAAAATTATAAAATAAGAAAACTAATTTAATATCCTCACACCCCTCTTAAATTTTATTTTTCTTCACTAATATCCAAATATTTCTGTCTTAATTTGATTAGTGAAAGCATAAAGGCCTCTGGGGTAATTAGAACACACTATGATGCCTAGAACAATATGACTAGAATAGCATACGATAGAATGATGTGTATCTATAGGTGCAGGAAATACATGAGTTTATGTCATACGTTGGCTAATATGTTTGTTTTGCAGTTAAATGCACGCTAAAGAATTATTTTCATTCCCTAGGGTCATTACTATGTTACTTAAGCAATGCTGCTTATACCAATTGCCTCGCCTTTTAAGTCAGCCTAGAGATTAAGGCTTTTGGTAAATGTGGCTTCTCGTAGAATATAAGTTCGGTCGAAAGCAGTAGCCTTGATTCTTAGCACCAGGAAGATGATAATTCTAAAGTTCAACAGTTTGTGTCGTTGGTATTAGACACGACAGCTTGCACCATTTTGTATTGGGCATAGCCAGTTATAAGAATTCAACCAGCCATCCTGGCAATAAGACACCTAAGCCACCACTCCCGCCGTTAGGTGACTGTCAGGCATGAAACGTTGTCTCGGCTGGTGTACTGCTGCTAGATTGATAGAATGTTTCTGATCGATGAAGTGATGGAGCCTGCTCGGGTCTACCGAGATCCATACGTGGAAAGCAACTTTCCGATTTGGGCCTGGGTATCGTGTGCTTCAAACCTTTAGCAATGGTCAACGTATTCTTGTCGTTACTTGAATCTTCGCTACTCTCTGGACTCTGGGCTGATTGCAAGAGTGCATTGAATGTTTTCAGATCATGCTGTAGGTCTTCCCGGTTGCTAACGATGCTTGGATTCTTGCCAATTTTGTTGAGTCGTTCGGCTGCTATCGACTCCATTGTTCTGCGCATGAGCGGATACAGATCAAGGACGGCGTTGAAGTGTTCCACCGATAAGGAGAAGAGATTGCAATATGTTTCTGCTCGCACGCTGGCAACTCTCCTAGCATTCGTTAACAAACAGATTTCTGAAATTAAAATGCATTAAACTTCATTATCAATCATTCCAATAATTACTATCGTGATAAAAAAGTATCTTTACATTTTTCATCTACCCACAATCTAACTAAATTGCTGCTATAGCGAATTCTACAAATTATCTTTCTGCTATACTTTCTTTTGCAATTTTTGCAAATGGTTAATAGGATTCAAAGAAAATTCTTTCTTCTTTCATGTCTACTTTCCTATTTACTTGTAAAATTACTAGTTTAATTGAGCGAAACACTATGCGATCAGAAAGAAATTTTTTATATAAAATAAAATAAAAAAACGATTGTCCTTATATAGATTAGAAGAATAAATTATTAACATGTTTTTATTTTTTAACATGCTTTCGTTTTCTTATTTTAAACGTTCCCTAACGCAACAACTATAAAAATTGATACAAAATATTATTTTGTGTGAGTAGTAAATTAAATCAAATCTTTAAAACATATTAAAACAATACCGAATAGAATGCTTAAAGCCCTTGAACTGATATATTTTAAGATTGACAATAAATATTATTTGACAGCTAAATAATATTCTCATATAAAAAGTATCGAATATCCGTACAAACCTCCAAAGTAAGAACCGTCGGAAAGACTAGTTGCCACTTCTCCATTAGTCATGACGATATCGACGATTCCTTCTTGGATGAAGTACATTTTTGTTCCCAACGTTCCTTCCTTAATAATGATATCACCTGGTTGGAAGACTTCATATTTTAACTTCGTTACCACGTCATTCACAAAATTTGGATCTGCATTGGCAAAGAAAGGAACGGAAGCAACAAGTGAACGGCAATTATAATTTATAACATCCTAAAAATAGAAAAAAATAAATAAATATTGAATGAATAATTTATTCACATAAAATAAAAGTATTCATATTAAACATTTAATTAAGCTATTAAATCAAATTATAGCAGAAGCCTTGTTCTATGAAAACACATAAAAAGTAATTTAGATTTCAGTTAACTACAATTTTATATTAAGTTACAATATATTTTAAATAATTATTTCAGCAATATTATTTAATATTATGTAAATAAAATAGGTATATAATTATTTTATTACTTCTCTTAGCCTTTCCGATAATTCTCCAAGGATCATCTCTTCATCGAAAAACTTTCCTTGGTATCGATGTTCGAAATAGTCAGTGATTCTTTGCTTCAAATCTCTTGGGAGCTTTCTGTAGGTCATGTACTCTTCAACTTGTTTTAACTTTTAAAAAATTGCATATAAACAATTATAAAATTATTTAGGGAGGAAGAGAGAATAAAGAAGGCCTTTAAAAGTCTTACTTTTTCGCGGTATTGTCTCCTGGAAGAATCCAAGGATTGAATAAGATTGGTTGTATGGCCCAAAAACAGAGCGTAGCAAGTGGCTCCACTAATCATACTGAGTAACGTTAGCCACATATCGGTCAAGCTCTGTGGTGGATATCGGCCGTAACCAATACATAACATGTGCGACATAGCTTTAAACAATGCCCAAGAGTACTGCTCTAACCAGAAGGCGTGCTAAAAAGACAAAAGAAAACTTTTATTTTAGGAACGGTCTCTGTAGTCCTTAAGAAAAATTGTGCCTGACAATAACCAATCAATGTAAAAGCAAGCTAAGCAACTTTTCATACTTTTAATTTAGATTAAGACTCAGAGGTGGGAAGAAACGATAACAACTGATTAGTTAATTAAACTTTATCAATAATTCTAAATATGATTAAATTACTCTCATCAAAAACAAAGATGTTGCTGTTTTTAGAACAGCACTGCTGTTGTCAGTTCAGTTGTATATGGAGCTTATATGTAGCCCGGAAGGAAACATAAATGATTTTGTAGCTCCTTTTTATCACCCACAGAGCTCTCCAGTTATCCAGAGGGCAATCGACGTCAACCGCGGGTGTACGAACTTCCCCAGTAAGATGTAAAGGAAAATTTATGTGTTATTCTTTTCAAATTTCAATGGTATTTTTATTTTTTATAAATAGAAAATCTTTAAAATGTTTTGAATAAACCAGATAAATTTCAGGAAATGCAACTATTTTATAGGATGAAACTATCCTCACGTATCCTGTTTAATCTGTTATATTCAAATGATATTTATACAATTATACAAGCTTATTTGAACATTCTAAAGTGTCAATTATTAATACGAAAATTAACTAATTGAATTTTTCCGAGTAATATAGCAGTGTAAATTAATAGTCACCTCATCAGATCATATTACTCCCTGATGAATTTGTTAATGCTTATAGACATCTAGAGGAACGTAATCATCACTCACACTCTTAATGTCTAGTAATGATATTATGTTTGAATAAGTAAACCGAAACAATGATTATCTTAACTTTTTCTGATATAGGGCAATACACTGTAAACATTTTTCTTTTCTAAAGCATTAACGATGATAAATAACCTTTACTAGTTCTTAAAAGAAACAAAGTCGTCATGTTTTATAAAAGAAAACATGTAAAATATTATTTATCAGTTGATAAAAATGCTTTATACCTATGATACTACAATTCGATATATAAATAAAAATTGTAATTTTATAAATTCTTAAAAAAAACTTAAAATTATTCAAGCAGAATAAATATTTATATTTATTCTGCTTGAGAAGTTTAAGCTTTTTAACAATTTATATTGTACGATTAATTCTTTTGCTTTCGTTTTTATTGTGCATAATTCCATATTAAATTTAGTAATCGATATTTATAAAATGAAAATTATATGAGAAAAATTGTGTTTTTATTATTCTTCTGGAAATCTTCAAATATCTAATGAAGTAAATTTTTAATACGTTTTAATAATCTCTTTAAATCATTCTCTTAACGTTTCTTTAATATTCTTCGTGTATTAATTTTAAAATTTACGGGAAAAATTTAATAATTGTCATTTTATACCTGGAAAAATTTATATTTTAGATAAAATCAACAGTAAAACCTTAGACATCAGATCTCTACGAGTTATCAAATCTTTTTTTTTCCGGAGATGGTTTGAATTGATTATTTGCTTGCTCGCTGAATTATGAATCATTCGGCATACATTCGGCATTAATCGATAAATTTAAAAAATAATATAAATAGCATCAAAAAATCATAAATAAAAAATGCCAATAGATAATTTTTCTACATAAATATTACGACAATATAATACTGTCAAAGTTGCCGTTTCATAATTTATTGATGTTAAGACATGTAAAATTAAGCAAAGCTTTTTAAGATAAATTCTTAAAAAGCTTTGCTTAAGTTTTAGATTAATGATGTCTTTTAATGTTTAATTTTTTTTACTAAAATATAAAATTAAATAAGATAGATAGTATGATATTAAGAAAAGCATTACAGACAGTTATTTTATTAAACTTTTTTCTATAGTAAAATAAAATAAACGTGCTTCTAGCTGGATTCGGTTCATTCATAATTACTGAGTATTAATTTGTTATTTTAAATAATAATTAAGCATTCAAAAATATTTATTACAGCTAAACAAAATGTTAATTAATAGATTTCTCTGTATTGACTTAAATAAACTAAAATTTAATCGTTATTAATCTGTAAATTATTATTTTATTTACAGGCCTAATATAATTTTTCTCCTTTATTGTATTGTATACATATATATATATATATATACATATGTATATATGAGATTATAAGTTGGCGTGACTAAAAACATTCGAAAAATAATTTATATCATGAAATAACGTGATTATTTCTCTTATTGAAAGAAATATCGAAATTTCTTTAATTAAAAAAATTTTTTTTAAATTGGTTTAGTAAATATTTGCAAAATTCTTTCGAATGAATGATTTGTTTAAAAGAATTTAAAATATTTTCAAATTTTATATTCAAATAAACGATTTAATAACATTTTTTAAAATTTAATAAACAATTATAAAATTTAATAAACAATTTTATAACAAACAAATCTATTATTCTTATAAAAAAGTATTTTTATGACTTAAAAATACTTTTTTGCTTTATGTTTTTATAAAAACTTAATTAATAAAACTATATTTTATACATCATATGTATAATTTTGATGATAATTTTATTTTACCTACTGTATATGGCTTTATTTATATATAAGCCTAAATATCGAAAGATAAACGACAATAATTACTTTCCTGGTCGATTCTATCATCTCGTACAACCCTCTATTAGGAAACGATTGCATTTTTCCAAATTGTCAACTATTGTCTTGAAGACATTCTTGCAATGAGATAAATGTTTCGAATTCGTTACATAGAAATGATAATGGTTTTTTCATGGTTAATGGGTCACCTGTCATATTATTTGTTCTAATATATCTTCTTGACAATAACAGTTGCAATAAAGATGAGAAATTATCAATCACAGTGGAATATAATCTATCCAATACTCTTTATCTTAATTAATCTGTTCTTCTTAAAATTTGTGCTCCTTGTTTATTTCTATATTTTATTTATCAAAGTTTCATCAATTACACAATTGCACATATTCTTAATAAGGATAAATTTTTGTTTGTTGTAATATTATTGGCAAATAACTGCATAATCCTCGTTGTGTTATTAAATTTTTATATAGTTTCTTAGAAACACGCAAAAAATATGTCAAAACATATATAAATTATTACTGAAAATTCAATCATATAGGCATATTTCTAATTTTTTGTTTTGAAATATCAGTTGTCATTGTTATAGAGACTGTTGCTATTGTCGTTAGAAAGTGCATTTATATCATTTTTACAACAAGAATCCCAACGTAAACTCGTTAAACTCGCCATATATAGCCTATTGCTTTAATAATTCTTATAACAGAACATTTATTTGACCATTAAAGTGCAATTTCAGTTAATACCAATAGGGAACAGTTATTTCAAATAAAAAAGTTATTTATTTTAAATCTCTATAAACTAAAACCCTAAAAAATATTATTGGAAATATTAAAGATTTTTGTTTAAGTGAAAGAATTAAAGTAATTTAATTATGTTAATTTGCAAAAATACAGTATCCATAGGAATCAGTTATTATTAGCGAATTAATAATACTAAAATAATAAATCCTTGTATGTTGAGTATTATTTATTTTATTAAGTGTTTATTTTATACATCGTTTACTTTCTCGGCTGTTATATACAGTATAATAAAGTGAAAATATGGTGATCGATTAAAATATGCACCCGAAGATTTTTATATTTTGGGAATCAGGGGACCTTAAAACGTTGAGAAATGCAAACAATTTTGGGAATTTTTTTTTATATGTATGGACGTTATTGTGTGTTTGGGTACACAATTTTGATTACCCACTTTAAAGCTTAATAACTTGTGCCTTTTGTCGAAAATTTCTGAAATTTTGCAGGGAGGTTTGTGTATTCGGAGATTGAGGCTATTAAATTTTCGTGATTGAAGGTCGAGGGGATGGAGAGATAGATTGGGGTATTGTGTCATATCTCGAACAGAGACGGACTTAATAAAATTTTACTTATTATTAGCATCTACGATTCACTTTTTAAAGATAAAACTTATCTCTACTATCAAATTTAAAGCTTTTTGTCATTTCATAATAATTAATAATATAAAAAGCTTTTGTAAATAAAATATCATAACAGATGTCGGCACACACAATTTCAACTCTTGCCGAGGAAGTTACGCAACTTGTTGCTGGAATTTTTTTATAATGCAATGTATTGTTTAAACTAGTGCAGAGATGTACTTGTAGATAATAATGTCATAAAGTGATGTGAAGCAAGTGCAGACTTGGTTTTTGTAAAGTTGGAATTTAAACCCATATAGTTTTAGTCTGCTATATAAATACTTAACACTATCGGTATCAAATGAATTGCACAGTTATTACTGTTTAATTCATATTAACTAGGAAACTAATTTTCCTAGTAAATTTTCATTTCGATAGGAAATTGCACAAAGTGTCAACTACTCTAAACTTTAATCGAAAATGGAGCAAGAGCGTATCTTTGAGTTAAAAATGCTTTGAAGTCTTGTTTCATATGCTATCGGACAAGAGCATTATTAACAAGCCTACTATAAAATGCTTTTTACTGCATTAAAATATGTTTAATTTTATAGTTATCCATTTTTAAACAAACAGAGCATTTTCGCTGAAATGTAAAAGAGAGTAACTTAGTATAACCTTACATCAATATTCTTTACATTTACTAAAAGTAACAACATGGAAAAAATGTCAAAAAAACAAATGAAATTAGCTAATTACCGTTCATTAAGAATTATAGAACAAGAAATAAACTGAAGCAATGAACATAAGCAGACTACTATGCATTTACCTGACCGTAATGGTCAGCACATGCCCCATTTAATAATATTTACGGGCAAGACCAGACTAGTATATTTCTCAATAAATTAAAGAAAAACAAAATAAACTGCTTATTCAATGCAAAATTACATCAATATCCTTTGTACTTACCAAAAGTAACAACACAGAATATAAAATTAACTTAAGAACTTTTACGCGTTAAGGTCAACCTAACGTTGTGTGTGTACTTTACTGAGCCTATGTAATAATAAGT